TTTATTTCTGATCTTGTGTTGGTGGCTCTAGCAGTTGAAAATGTATCAAACCTGAGTGTTGTGATAAAAAGTTAGACTAGTCATAAAATATTTTTCTCTTCATGTTCAAAAATTCAATATGAATATGTACAGCAATATAAGTTTTAACAATTAAATTTTTTGTCAGATTGTAAAATAAAAATAGTTTGAAATTTGGCATTATACTTAAAATGAAAAGTGCAATTAAACTTTCATTTCATGTGCATTCATGCTATTTTCTCATATTTTAATCTAACTTGTATAGCCAAAAACTAGGTGCAATAATCTTCCAACAAAAACCAAGAAAATCATCTAAAACATGCATTTTCTGTGCATTCATGACACTGTATTTTATTAGATTAATGCAAACATTTCTAGTACTAAATTCTACATGATATTGGGGAAAGCTTTTAAGGGTACTATAAACAGTACTATATTATTTATAAACCTTAGAAATATTCAGAAGCTAGAAAGATGGATTCCACATAAACTTATGAAAAGGAATACTGGTCAGAATTTTTCTCATTTTTGGAGATAGTTACTGATGATGAAATTGGGTTTATTCCAAGAAACCAAAGCAAAAAAAAATGATTTCTAGATCCTGGATAACCAACATCTTTGCCTAAAAAGAATCTATTAGAGGAAAATGGTCATTTCCCTGTGTCTTATAGGATTCAAAGATAATTCTTTTTTTAAATTTCCATCAGTTTGTAATAAATTGCAGTGAGTAATTAGTTCATTTAATGTAAGAATAATTATTTAAATCAACATTTAATACTATTTAAATCTGTGTTTTATAGGATTCAAAGACAATTTGTTCAGATTTCCATCAGTTTGTAATAATTATAGTGAGTAATTGGTTTGTTTGATGATGTAAGAAGTGCTTTCCTGAACACATTGACCAGTAATTTGACTATGTGACAATACTCATCTTTATTTTTGCAATCAATCATAGAACTGAGACAGGAAATTCTTCTGAACTCTCATCTTCATTTTACTCTATGCAATACTACTTGTCTTGTTAGTAGTTCCAACAGATTCAAGATATTGAAAAATCATTCTAGAAATTCATCAAATCAAAACTGAAATCATTCTTTTATAATTGAATATACAGTTTAACTAAAAATTGACATGTGGTCATAGAAAGTCTGAGAAAATATTTGGATAGCAGAATATTAATGCAATAAAATGTTGGAACATTTTGCATCAACCTACTGATAAAAAGCATATTTTTTTTAATAATCAAAAGAACTTTTATTGTTATCTTCAAAATTTTACATTTAAAATAGAAGTGTTTTAACTTGCTCATGTCATTAAAGAATTCAGAATTTTATTGGAAGATTTCTTAAAGAAAGTGCTCATGATGGTTTGTGAAAGCCAAGATTTATGTTCTTTTCATTTGACTAACCATATTTGTAACTTGTACAATGCACATACAAAAGTGGACCAATATTAGCTGAATTCTAATTTGAAATTTTCACTGTATAATATTCAATCTATGTGCGTAAGTAATATTCACCACTGAGTAATGTGATCCACTTATTTATGTTGCAAAATATATATTTATATAAAATAAATGCTTTTTTCATCATTAAACAAGACTTATTGTAATGGTAAATTGTTAATTTATTGTAATGGTAAAATTAACCTTTTCATACAGGAAGCATGACATTCATTGACCAAACAGTCATTGTTACTGTCAATTGAAATTTATGAAATCTTAAAACAGTTTTTCAGGAAATTAAACTTTTCAAATCCACTAAGTGTTATAGGTCTTTCTTATATTTTGGGACTTTCCTTGATCAGTAAATTGATGCATTTATAGATGTACAACAATAAAAAAAAAAAAAAAAAATGCATATTCAATTTCAGAATCTACTCATATGTAGGTTCAAAGGTATGAATCCACTTCTTCCCCAGATATAGTAATGACAATGGTAGAATTATCTGTACAGTAAGCATTCATCATTCATTGACTGAACAGTTAGTGTTATTGTTAATTTAAATTTATTTGATGGGAGTTTCCTTTACAAAGTTTTTTTTTAGTTTGAAAATTGATATCATTTTCTCTTCTAGTTACATATACTACTCATTTTAATTGCTGCTGCTGTTGTTGCTATTTGGTAAATTTCTTTGTGGTTTTATACTACCAATCTGTAGGGTTTAATGAAGGATTGTCTTTAGGATTTATAAGATTAATTTATTTAGAGTCGTTTTTTTTTTTTTTGATCTGAGAAAGTGGTTTGCTAAAAACATGATTCATATTACAAATGTGAAAGCTATAAGCAAAATTTTTTCAGCTCAGTTGTATTAGAAAGTGTGTATAAAAATAAAAAATAAAGAAGTGTTGGTTTGTGAATAAGAATTTTCACAAGGTATTTTTTAAAATTTTGGTCAACAGAATAATTTCCTTCAATAAATAAAAAAAACAATATTGATAATTATTATTTTCAATCTGTGCTGTTTACTAATAGTCATAGAATGATTGTCTGGGTAAATGGAATGAAATCAATTTAAATTAAGATGAAAGAACCTTTCTGCACATGATTCCCTGTTTTTTTTTTCACTGCCCATTATAATTGAGAGGTAAGGCAGGTTACATCCATTATGACACAATTCTTTTACAACTACTAGTCAAGAATTAATAATAGTTTACAATGCTTCATCTAATAAAGATTCAAGATATGATTGATAATCTTTTAATCTATTTTTAATATAATTTATGGTAAACATTTTTAAAGATTGGTGCTATTTCCTGTTGCTTAATTTTTTTTCTGATTATTTTTGTTATATTGAGTTGCATCATGGCTTGTGTTATCGCTTTCTAACTTCTTATTTGTTTTTCTCTTGAACACTTGTCATTTTTTTTTATTATCACCCCCCAAGCAAAGCAATAAATTCAATAGTGAATTGATTCATCACTGGTACCATAGCCCTCTGGCTTTGTGCCAAATTTAACTGAGTAAATACTTTATAGTTACTGTAACATTATCATTAACTTACTTGCTAAACAATTTGTTATTATAATGAGCTTAAGCCTCACTGGGTAATCAACTCTTGTAACCTTGTGCAAGGTAAGTTAAACTTAATAAATTTCTTTTGATACTTACTTTTAACTCACAAGCTGTTCTTACAAACCAATTCATTAGTTTTGTGAGTTTGATTCTCAAAGTGTTTCTGTAGCAGAATCTAAAATTAATATTTATTTGGAGACCCATTTAAATGTACTGGGAATCTTATAACAAAATTTGGTAAAAAGTTTTACCATTTCAAAATTAATTCAACACATATATAAATAAAAAGAATAATAATAATGGTAGTTTTACATGTAAGGTTCAAATGAAACAATTCAGATAACAAGAAAAAAAGAAGACTTAAAAAATGTTTTGTGTAAAATGAAAGTTCCTTTCAGATGTCTAAGTTCATGTCTGTATATGTGTGAAAAGAAAGTGGGTGGGAATTTACATACACATAGAGGGAGCAAGAGAATATTTATATACACAGTGTGAGAGAGGAGTCATTAAACTTTTAGCTGTAGCTTTGGTCAGTGGAAGTTTGGTAGACAATCAAAGACAGTTCCTTTGAGATAACTGGTAGTTGAAAATGAAATCCTGTTGAAAGCTAGTGTATCTACACTATCTTTTGTCAAGACTTGTCTATATTTCTTTTAAGAGGCTCAAGGCTTAGAACTTTTCAACACCACAATAGAACAATTTGATTGGTCTATTATTCTTCCTCTCTATCATGTGGTATGTTTCTACACTGAATCCACAGAGAAAAAGATTCAATGAAACTGTGTTTGTAATTTTAAAATTTAAGGCATGAACATATGTTGGTGTAACCCATACTCCACTAATAAAGTCCTATTCCTGGTTAATGTAAGCTTAGAAAATAACCATAATGTTTTTTCAACTATAGACTCTGATTTAAACATTCCCACTGGGGAGGAGGGAGGGTAAGTTTTACAATGATTGATATTATTTCTTCTATTGCTACTTTCAACTGACTATTTTTTTATTCTTTTTTTTAAATAAACCCTGTTCTTATATTTTATGTGTTTTTAATATCACTTCTAATGACTTGACCACCATTTTTAGTTGTTCATCCCAAGGATTTTGAAGAGTTTTATTTTTTAAAATATTGGCTGATTTGACTGTAAATTTGTATTAAAATTCAATGTAAAATACATTAGTAATTTTATTTATAGAGTAATATAATTTACAAGTAAAAAAAGAATCTCTGCTCTTTTCATCTAAATTTACTTTTCTAGTTTTCATCATATGGTATTAAAAATGTAATTGAGATTTAATGCAAAGTGTTGTGAAACAACAATCTTTATTTCTATTTTATGAAATATAATTGGTTTGCTTTTTGCTTTATAGATTATCAACCTTTTGCAGGTTATTTAAAGCCAGAAAATATTCTTATATTGTAAGAATGTTTTTTCGGAGATAAGTTTTGTCTTACTAATAACCCATATCTGGGAGGAGAAAAGGTAGATTCATATCTTTCACAAGGTTAATTGTGCATAAGTGAATATAATGAACTCAACTGGAATTGGAACTTGGCTCTCCAATTAACAATTCCCAGTCTTTATCCATTACGCCACCCACACATCCAAACTTACAGCACCACGTATTCCCAATTGGTTTGCATTATATTAGTTATTGAAGTGAGTTGAACACATGTTTGAAATTAATTAGCCTTGTAAAAATGTGTGATGAATCTAGATGTGAAAGAAATATTTCAAAACCTGTTTGATTTTAGTTGTTAACTTCACCATTTTGTTTTCATTTGGTATCAACATAGGGTGACTAACCTCACTAACCTTGACACAGTATGAAACTTTAAACATTTTTCTTGTCATTTTTAATTTAAATTCAAATGTTTTTGTTGTTAGTATATTGTTGCTATTTATCCATCTTGTTTGCAAATTATTTTGACTGTGTAAATGTCCATTTTTCATTTGTTTTGTTTTTCAGGCAGCTGACAACCAAGTGACCCTTGAACAACAAAAAGAGAGACGTGAACAACATATTCAAAGACTCAAAGAAATCAATGCCAAAAGGAGGCTTGAGAAAGTAGGCTGATTTAAAATTTTAATATTAAATACAGTAAAAATATTTTTTAACTTTAATTTTCTTTTTAGTGCAATATTTTTATGGATTATCTGGTTATTTTTGTAGGAAATAATGTACAGTTCTTACTCCATTTTTAGTATATAAGACATTTTTATGCATTTTTTACTTTATTTTTTTAAGACATTTTTATGCTTTTTTTTATTTAAGTGCAAAGCAAAATTGGGTGAGATACCTGAAAGAAAAGAAACTTAATCTATACTGGTTGGTTGATTTTGTTTAACAGCATATTAACCACTATGGGTTACTTAATGCTAAAATCTAAATGTTTTGTATACAATTTTTTTCTTAAGATAATAATGGTTTTAGAGATGCATGTTAGAAGGAGAAGAGATGGAGTCATACCTTTCCTGAGGTTATTTGCATGTAAGCAAATATAACAAACCCAGCTGGAATTAGAATTAACAATTCCAAGCCATTATCCATTACATTACCCACACATTCAATACAGCACCTGCTTATTTCCAAGTGGTCACCCATCTAGGTGCTGACCAGGCTTGACATTATTTAACTTCAGTGATCTTACAGGAACCAATGTTTCAACATGATGTGGCCGTGAGCCCTCACCTATGTTAAATATGTACTGATTGTACTTACTTATAGCAGAGGATGTGTATGCATTGTGTATAACAGTCAAATTGTATAAGAACCATATTTTTAGTATATAAAGTATATTTTATAATTGTTATAGATACAATAAACATAAATTTTTAAAATATATTTATAAATAAATATATTCACATAAATATATATATAAAACAAAATATATAAGTATAATATGTTTACATTAGTATATCTGAGGCTTGATAGTTTAATTCTTAGAATAACTGCAGCATGTCACTTGGATAATGACCAGGCATATATTTGTACCAAAGTATGTCCAAACATGCTCCAACTTCCACTTTTTTGAGATACAAACTAGATGAGTCATTTGTTGCCAAGCCATAGAGGAAGTTTTATGTGTTCATATTATCCTATTGGTGGAAAATAAAGGAATCTGGAGTAGTGTATTCGCATTAAGTTTTGTGTAAACATTGGTAAATGTATTAGTAAAATGTTAGTCTTATTGAAAAATGGCTTATGTTGAATATGCTATTATAGTGTCTTAATAAACTTGTTAGCAGCAGCAGCCCATAGAGTATAAAAACAGGCAAGCCCTTACGTAACTCTTTTTCCTGTGAATTTCCACCTTTCAAAGTGTGTGCCATCAACTTTTCACATCAAAGAAAAAAGGGCTATGGATGCTTCACACACTAGGACACCTACACCGGCTAGTCACACCTAAATATATTAAGAATTTTTGTTATGTATTACATTTATTTCTAGATAAAGAGACTCTTAAACTTTTCTTTTCTTATTTTTGTTAAATAAATGTTATCTTGTACTGTAGATCAATCGGTCACTGTTATTTTTTGTATGTACTATTTTACCATCATTATTTAATGTAAACATTTCTCATAGATACCTTATTAATTATAGTAGCCAACACACTAAACTACAAAGAAATTGACTGTTTTTTGAATGCCACATGTGGTTCAACGAAGGGTGAGAAGATGTGCCTGATGGTACCAAAAAACACAAAGAACAATTACAAATGGGAACTGAATGGAAACCTTGGTGTGTCCAGATCAAATATAAATGTGCTACTGAGAGCAGAACAACTGAATATGAATAGGGAAACAGTGCAGCAGATTCTAACAAAAGATCTTGAAATGAGAAAGAAAATGATGCATCAGAAGTTTGCAGGTTCCTGACTAATAATTACAAAAATTAGCCATCCACTTTATTCACCAGACTTAGTCCCTTGTGAGTTTTAGTTATTTCCCAAATTGAAAAATGCCATGAAAGGACAAAGATTAGCTGACCTCCTTGACATCCAAAACTTGACTACATTACTGAAAGACATTTCAGAAATAAGTTCCAAGAATGTTTCTAAACATGGCACTGTCATCTCCCAAAGTTCATAGTTTTACAAGGTGAGTTCTATGAAGGTGAAACCTGCCAATAGAGACCATGTAAGCAAACTTTGCTTTCACTGGGTTATTCTTGGAATTAAATTTTCTCATGGAGAGCATAGCTTTACAAGGCAGGTACTTTGTAGGTGAAATCTGCCAATAGTGATCATGTAAGCGAACTTTGCTTTCACACAGTCATTCTAGAAATCAAATTGTCATACTTTGTAATGTATACTTAGTATGTTTTTGTACATGATACATTATTTTTAAGACTATTTTCAAGGGCTTTTCTTTTTCGCATTTTCCATTATTTAAATATTGTACATAGCTAACTTGGAGAGTTTGTGATTTTCTTTTTTTAAAGAAAAACTTAATTTCATAGACTTAAATATACTCAGTGCAAATGATTCTTTCAGAGAGTTTATAAGATATATGTAGATATCAATCGAATTATATGCTGCACCATATTTTTTGCTATATAATGTGGATGCTTCATTCTGGGGGTTATCTTGGGACCATTCCAATGAATAGGGATGTATGGTTATCAGTTTCTTTAATCAGTTCGCTTCCTCCAAAACATGTGTGACATAATGTACAAGGTGAGTTTTTTATAGTGAGAAATATACATGAAATGTCTGCCTGTGTTGTTTAATGTAATACAAGACCTTTGAATCTCATCTAAAGTAGAGTTGTGAGAAAATTGAGTAGCAGAACAAAAAGATAGAATTAGATACAACTCAAAAATCTCTAAAAAAAAAAGGCTGTAGATTCATGGAATAATGCCAATACAAATTAAGAATCTTTTATCAAACATTCTTGGGACCAGAAGTGCTTCAGTTTTCAGATTTTTTTTGGATTGTGAATACAGGCTATTTAATTTGTATATAGCATCTATAAAATGGAGCAGATTGGAAATGGAATCCAAGTTTATACATATACCCAGAAGATAGTTTTATATAATTAATATATACCCTGAAAGTAGTTTTATATAAAATTTAATAAATTTTGTGTACAGGTAATGATGTTAGTCATCTAATGCTCACATGGATGTTTAAGTTGTGAAATTAAAATTTCACATAAAAATGATGTTTTATACTTTCTGTACATGTACAAAAAACATGATCATTACTTACAAAAAGTATATAAGTGCAGGACTTTTTGATATTTTGAATAATATCTTTACTGAACACAAAATATCTGGTAGGTGGGTGGGTGTGTATGCTTAAATACAGCCCAAAATGTATATAATTTGACTGATATGCATAGTACACATAAGCATACTCATCTACTATATGCTACTGTATACTTTCAATTAGTATATAGTTAGCATATGAAATGGATTTCTTTCCTCTCAAATATATCTCACCCAACTGCAGCACAAAACAATAAGCCTGTTTTTGTTCTGTAAACTCTCTGCCTCCTATATTGTTTTTATTGATATTTGAATTTAATAAATACAACTCTATTTACATTATTCAGATTATTGCCCTCATCTTTGTTGCCATATTTATCATAACGTTTTGGCCATTGTACACTCCGGCCTTCTTTAGGTAGTTGGAATGTTGAACTGAACCCTTTATTTCGCTCGTTGGGGTAGACTGTTCTAGTTCCATGTGCCATGTCTAATGGATGTCAGTTATCAGTTATCTCCTGTTAATTCACTTCTCCAAGTTCTCCACTGCCTTAACCAGGTATTGAACTCACAACTCTTTGGGTCCTGTCACTGGATCTAACCAAAATATAGACAGATACTGAAATACAACTCTGAATTTAAAACCTCCAATCTTGAGTTAAATAGCCTCACCAACCTGCAGCTGACCAAGCATGTTGAGTACAGCTACACCCTTGAAGTCAATCCGGGTGGAGTCCCTTCAACAGGAGTGAGAAGGCCCTAGATTTAAATTTGGATTCTTTTCTTTAAATCCAATGATTTGAACAGCCATGTCAGTTTTGATTATGGCCATATTTTACTGTTTTGGGCAAAGGGCAACTAAATAGCCTCACCAACCTGCAATTGACCAAATGTGATGTGTATGGCTACACCTGTAAAGGCATGGTCAATCATGGAGGGGTTCCTTCAACAAGAGTGAGAAGAATTTGGATTTGGATTTTTTTTTTTTAAATCCAATGATTTGAACAGCCATGTTTATTTTGATCATGGCCATGTTTTACTGTTTAGGAGAAAGGCAACTAAATAGCCTCACCAACCCGCAATTGTTTTACTAGATTTTTGGAAACATACATGGATTGATTAAATAAAGAATTTATTTCACTAGATTTTTTAAGTACTGAGATTTAAACTTTTGATGCTGTTTTATTTAAAATTTGATTTTGGTTGATACCATTGAGCATTGCAATGAAAAGCAACAATTATTACATGAAAGAGAAACTAGTTTGTGATTAAAAATAATAAGAGCATTGTTTTAACCAAAATATCAATTTATAATTATTATAAAAGTTTCATTTTTCATAAATAAGCACACATTTAAAAAATGAGTCATTTTAAGTTGTGATGAGCATCTTCAAAACAATGTACTTTTTGATTTTCTGTGAGTTCATTTGGAATCATTTTGTCTAATCACAATATTTCTCATTACCTTTAAAAAAATAAACAGTCATTGTTCTCAGGTTATCTTCTGCAATTTTATTATTAATGATATTTGTAGGTTATCTTTGAGACTTATTTTGTATTGTCTCATCTCTGGAGTGAAATTTGTGAAACCATCTGTTGTGGAGATTGCTAGCATCTAGATCTGCCCAATGCAAATTGCTGGCATGTGAATCTGTCTAATACAAATTGCACGTGAATCTGTCCAGTAGAATTGAATGGAAAGTTGTAGAACTCTCTAGAATGCTCTAATCGCACTGCTATATAAGTAATGCAGGTAGAGTGGTTTGGTTGTCTTTTTGCTTTTGTCCTTGCCCATCATACAATGTTGAAGAGACAGTTAATTAACCTATTTGGATTATCAATGTGCTTTCTCTGTGAGTGAACGAAAGAAACACAACATCACCATTGTAATGTTCATCCAAATTCTTAATGGATGCTTCTCCCTACTTCAGTTGCTTTGTGTTCCATTTTAACTTTGTACAAAAAGAACAATCTTGTTTGCTCAAAACATTTTTAAAGGTGAAAAAGCAAAGTTCATGAAAAATAATGTGAGATACACCAATAGAATAGCCAGATTTACAATATCAAATGATACAATATTGTTTGCACCTACTTTTCAACAACACCAAATCATAAATTATGACTCTAGTACTCCATGAAGTATAACCTTTTTTTTAATTATTTCACCCCAAGCAAGGTAATAAAGTCACTAAGACACAAGAAGTTACTGAGTGGGAAAGAATCTTGTAGTGAAAGAGTAAAATCTAATATTGTATTTTAAAATTGTTTGTTTTGTTTTTCAGTTGCAGGAAAATGAAGAACAGCTTCAACAGTTGATGAGTATACAACTCCTGTTGGAAGAGGAAGATGAGGATGCTTTAAAAAAATACGGTGTAAGAAAGAATTGAACATTTTTTTTTTATTAACATCTGTAGATGTAACATCAATGAATGTTTCTAAACATTTTTATACAATAAATTAACAAATTTAAATAGTTTACAAAAATGCACATGCATTTTATGAGGTATTAACTTTTATTTTGGGCAGAATATTAAAAAACAAATTTATTCAGCCTGACAAGGGTTTTCCAGGCAACCCATGAAATGACTCCTGCAGAGAAATTGAAAGAGCTCATATTGAACTTCAGGGGGAGCTCATTCTAACTTGTAGGTGGGAAAAGCCTCCTGATGCTAATTAGAATCTATTGACTTGCTAACCTTCTTTTATACTATATTGATATGTAAGTCTTACATATTATATTGGTAGGTAAGTCTAACACATTTGTTTATGTAAAAGCACAGCATTTTATGAGGCTTAAATTTTCATTTCTGCTTAAGAAATAAAAATGAAAATACATTGCAAAAAGCATGGAAATGCATTACTAGTTTTATTCTTTCTTACATGTGTTTCTCACTCTATTTATTTCAGAGAGCTCTCAAAAATATGGGCTTTCGTTCTAGTGAAGACCTCCAGGTTGCAATCAACAAACTCACCATAAATATTCAACGAACCAAAGCCAAAATTCTTGGCAAAGAGCTTCCTGAAGAACCTGAGGTAACAATCTTAATTTTTAAATTTATTGACAGAAATATGGGAAATTTGCCAAACAAATTTTCTTCTCCTCTTATTAAAGTTTAAATTTTAATTTTTCATTTAGAGATAATATATAGCGATTTATTTCATGTTTTGAATTTTATTAGATATATTTATCTTTTGTGCTGTTTTCCTTATCTTTGTTGTTTTTATTAATAAAATTTGGTTTGTTAGTTTTTCAACTTTCTTCACACCCTGTTTAACAATCAAATATTCCTAAAGGAGAAAAATTGACACATTGCAACAAAAAACACAAACCTGAGGATAATAGTCTAAAAACTGTATTGAATAGAGTTATTGTATATTTTAATTGCACTTCTATACATTTTCATAAGAAGAATTTGCAAATTACTAATATCTTGCTTGAACAAGGAAAAAAAAATTATTTGTATTTATCACAAAAATCATATAAAATGACTTGAAATACAGATAAATAAAGTATGTTAAAAATCAGTATTGCAAACCATCCATTATAAATATTTTTTATAAATCTACTGGTTAATTTTAGCAGCATATTTTACAAATGAAAAATGTTTACATGTATTTATGCACTAACTAAAATAATTCATATATTATTTTAGTTTCTTTATTTACATTTTGTAAAATTTTACCTACATTGCTAGAGGTTTTTCAACCATGTAATTAACCTCTTTGATTTTATTTCATTATTTTCCTTTCTAGTCTTAATCTTTTCAATTCTATTTTCAAAAGAGAATATATTAAAAGTGAAATTTTCTAATTTACTTCATCATTGACCTGTTATTCAATAAAAAGATTTAATTTTATCCAATGATTCAGAGAAATGTTTTGGTTTCTTTCATTTTATTTTTGTTTTTCGTTTGTATATTATCTTGTTGTTTTCCTATTTTTATGAGATCATTTTCATTTTTTCCAAGAGCATTTCTGAAAAAAATCTTTTGTAAAAGTTTAATTTTTGATTTTGCTGTCAAAAGCTAGAAATTATTTATAGTCAAGTCTTTTTCTTCATGCACTAGGGATACACATATTTTACAGTGAAAGGAAGAAGTGACAGAAAATTGATCCTTATAAATCAGTTTTTCATGGATAAAGAGTATTTTTTATATGTATTAGGTAGCAATGTGTTTATGACAATAGCAAAATGTTCCAAGGGGTTTATGAAACCAAAAATTATTGATAATGGTAAAGATCAGTGTACAACAATAATAACTGGGGAAAATATATTTAAAGACTCGCATACAAAATCCTAATAATAGTAAGGACTTAACAAATATCAATTACATATATGCTGTAAATTCTGATGGCATAGGTAAACTGGTTGATTGATAATTGATTGTTCTGTTTTAACAGTATATTGTCTCTGTCAGTTATTTAATGCCAAAAAGATTTTTATTTTTAAATATATGGCTTGTAAATAATCCGTTAGGTTGTTGGTTCTATCACTCTCCAACTATGCCTTATTTAGTGCTATAATTTGTGATATAGGCTAACCTACTTCAAGCAGGTTAGATTAGTTTCATGACTCCAATTGTATAACTGCACCCCCTGTATACCTGCACTCCCTGTCTAGAAATGTCAGTCTGCGTCCCCTACTTGCATACATTATCTGTTGGTATACTAAGCTACTCCCTGCCCTTCATCTTTTTTCGGTACATCTTTTGCAAGTGTTTGATTTTTCTTAATAAAGGAATTCCATCAATAAAACCTTTTTGTGTAGTTGCTGCTTGAGGTTAAAAATGTTTCAATGATTTAGATATTCAGTAAATTTCCAATGGACATAATAACTTTCAGATAGTATGGCATTGTTCACAAATCTAATAATCAAACAAAAACAGGGATGAAGTGTCAGAGTTTGATTGAAGTGCAAATGCATGAACGCCCCCCCCCTCGCACATTTACTGTAAAGCTGGGGTTAAAAGAGGCTCTTTGGGAAATTTTCCCTTTTAACACTTCAATAGTCCTTCTCAAACAATCTTTGCATCAAAGGTTGTTCAAATGCCAATTTAGGATGGAATCATATGAAGAAATTATTGGCTAAATGGCAAAAGCTGATTTTGGATCTAGTTTGCCACAGATTTTGTCCACTTAACTGAAATAATCTCAACCAAACATTCACATAAGACAATTTGTGTGTCATATGTAATTTACATGGAAAATTTGGAAAGCATTGGATGAAAAATCAGGGAGTTATGGCCCAAAAACGGGCTTCTTGAACAGTTTTTCATTATATATGGGGAAGCAAACAGGACTTTATATTTTAAGTAGTACAAAAAACCCAATTTTTTTCAGTCTTTTGAAATTTTTTGCATGAGGCCAATGTCGCAGGAAAACTATCAAGCACTCTACATAAACCTCAAAACATGAGCTATGTTTTGCATTAAATGCAAAGAACATCAGCTCATCCAGTAAAAATTTTGTTTGCGTGTAACTTTGCCTTGGTTTTTGCAAAAAATCATACCCACCTTCAGTTTTTATCAATTCTTCTGCCAAACCCAAGGGGCCTGGAGATTGAAAAGTTGGTCTTGACCTAATTTGATAAATCTACAACAAGTGTGTATAATTTCATCGAAATCAGTTGAAAAATGTGGATGTCCATAAATATCATACACACACAGACACCCAGACAGACATCTGTTTTATAAATATAGATATACCTGATGCGATGGGTAAATTGTCGCCATTTTATATTTTTAATTTCATGTGTTGTTTTTTTCTTATTTTGTTGACTGCTTATTATAGTAGGGTTAGTTGGGCACCATCTGTGAGAAAAAGAGCATCATGATGCAATTCACTCTGCCAGTAATTTGGAAATGGCATGCTGTACTGCTTAGTATTTGGGTCAGAAGCTCCAATATGAATGCTTCAGAGTGTTTGGGTGTCAATCTGAGGACACTGCAGAAGATTCAGAAAGAGTTGGATGAATCTAATGGTGATTACAAAGGTACAGCAGCTCAGAAAACTCACTCTGATCCTTCTGATAAGAAATGAACTCCCACATTTGTTGATGAGGCCCTGAGACTCAACATCAAGTGCCTTGAGGCAGTAATGCTGCCTGGGGTTACTGGAAGACCCTATGTCTGGCAACAGGACTCTGCACCATGCTACACAAGCAGGAGAACCCAGTCATGGCTGTCAGACAATTTCTGTAATTGCATCACCCCTTACATCTGGTCAACTAACTCCAAGGACTGCAATCCTCTTGATTATTATGTGTGCAGTGCAGTTGAGCAAGAGACCAACAAAACTCCTTGTAACACCAAAGATGGGCTGAAGGCAAGGATTACGGCTGCATTCACCAACTTAAACAAGGAGACCACCCAGAAAAGTTGCAGAAGATTACAAAGTTATCTGGAGGCCAGGGATGAAGCTAAAGGCAATTTTGTTAAATAAATTTACTGTTTAGTATTTCATGATGTTTTTGGTAAAGATTTCTGTTAAAATGAGATGTCAGTGTTATTTTCATCTTTGTGTAAATTAGATGACAATTTATTCATCACACCATATATATATATATATATATATATATATATATATATATATATATATATATATATAGAGAGAGAGAGAGAGAAATAATTCTGTTTACAGTGACATAATGTTAAATTATATAATTTTATAATTTATTGAATTCAATCAATTAGGCCTGTCTTTTTTCTAAATTTTCCAGTTTATATATAATTTCATCATGCAGATCGAATTTAGGAGGAAATATCCTCAGCAGAGCACACAGATACTATACTGATCCTAAACAGGGGGACGAGGATCAACACTTTGGTTCAAGGGAGAATGCACAGACACAATACTGATCTTAGATAGAATGTTGGTTGGTTGATTTTGTTAGTGGTATATCAAAACCTCTATGCATTATTTAATGCCAAAGTCTAAATATTTTGTACAGAATTTTATACTCCCACAGTAAAAAGTATGTTTTTTTTTAAATATATAGTTTGTAGACTATAAAATGTATTGTTGGTCATTTTGCTATAAAACTGTATTGTTGATTTTTGTTTGAGGAAGGGGTCACTATTTGCCCATAGCTGGGACCCTAACAGGTGCTACCACTCCGGATCAGGGTGGATCTGGGAACAACAGCAATTAAGAGGTGGTTCTACATTCTTCAAAACCTCCAATCTCCCAATCGGAGGCCTTGCTGCTAAATATAGTTTATTGTCATACCCACAACATGCCTAGACAGAAATGCCAATCCATATGTCAATAATGTCATCATTTTTTATGAGTTTTATGTGTATTTATATATTTAAAAACTCACATGTGAAAATTGTATAATTATAGTAAAGACTTAACAAAATATGCTGACATTCTTTTTATGAGTAAACTTAATAAGTACAAACAGATTCTCTGGTTGCAAACATAACATTAGAATTAACAAATTCAGAATGATCTCAATTATGCTTACATTTTTTCAAAGGTGTAGGATTCATTAATTTCTAATCCTGATTAACATTTTTAGCTTTTTCTCAACATTTAGAAAAATATTTCATATTTGTTTTAGAATTACAAAATCTCTTCAGCTTTGCATGTAAGAATAGAAGTGAGATTTCTATTTGGTTTGCAAATTCATCAGAGGTGATTCAAAAAAATGTTTTGTTTTTATATATTGTGTATTAGTTTATTTTTATTCACTCACTTGTTGGTTACATAACCTATTTCACTTTTCTAGTGGGTAAAACAAAAAGACAGTTATTTATAACTAGTCTGGACCTTTAGGGTTCGGACTCATTGCCACTTCCATGGTGTCAAATCATCCTCATTTTTTCCATGCTCCAAAAAATGTTCCTCAGACGGGTTTTCTCCTTGTGGAACAGATTCCCACATGGATACTTCTCTAAATACTTCAACCTTGACCTCTTCAAGTCAAGGGTCAATTTCCATCTCTCCACCAAACCTGAATTTCTCACTATCTTCTCTTCCATTCATGTTACATGCACCATTTAACATTTCCATTTTACTGACTGTAACACTTTACTTTGAGTGGCTCTCAAACCTTGTCTTGAGTAAACTTTAGTTTAAAAAAAATGAATTTTATTTTATTTTATGACCCATATTTTTATATTAATTTATGACAAAATCATATGAAGACACTTTTTTTTTTCATTGTTTAGGCCAAAGCAGAATCCAAGTTTGATCTTCTTCACATTCCTGATGAAATGCTTACTGCTGAACAACAAGCAGCCAAAAAAAAGCAACATATTCTGAAAAGTGCTCATGAGGGAAGAGCACGAGCTCATGCATTACAAAGAGCGAAGAGACAAAAGGTGATTATTATGTTTTCCTTTGTTTCTATGTCATATATATATATATATATATATATATATATATATATATATATATACGGGGAGGTGCTATGCAAGAAACAATATTTCCACTTTGCAGTTCCCAATTATAGGCATCATTATATCTGTAAGATAGCAACACCCTAATACACAGATGGCACAGAATAGATGAAAAACAAAAAAATGAGAAATATGCACGATTCTGAAAGAGATTTTTTTTTAATATCAATGTATACATACTTGTGTTGCAGGTGGTATATTGGCCTTCAAACAGATATTGAATGACAGAAAACAACAACAAACAAATCATCTTGAGTAAAAAAATATATTACCAAGTTTATATTGTTAAAGAAAATACATTGACAAAATATGGTGACATTTCACTAGGCAAAAGTTGTCTGTATATTCATGTAGAATGTGAGAAAAGCATTGTTCTGAAAAGGACAGTTTTGTAGTTGGTGAAAAGTGTTGTCCTAAAAAGAACAGTTTATCACATATTCTTGCTGCTAGTGAGGGTTGGTTGGAGCTGCTGCTGCTGAGGGGTGGCTGGAGCTGTGGGACAACTGTTGCTGGAACAAATACTACACTTTGATCCCAGGCATCTTGATGGTGTATGCCATTTTTTTGTCTTGTTTTCAAGGCCATTTTTTATGCTGAATCAGCTACACAAGCATAGCTAATCCTTTTAGGTAAAGTTTCTTCTTCCAGTTGTTTTATAAAAAGGTGGGAGTGCCAACAGGATACAGCACTTGTTACTAATTTGTCCCACACAGAGAAATTATAACATATGTATACAATAAGCAATGTAAAAGGGTTGAAAAGAGAGAGGATCTTACTTGTAATATTTCCTAATATGAAAAAATGCAGGCTGGTGTCCTCTATATGCCAGGTGAGATTATATGATTTTCTCTGCATGACCCTCTGCTGTGGAATTGTGTCTGTCTTATCTGCAGCCTACATAGCAACTGATGTGGGCTGACATGTCTTGCCTCCAGGTATGATAAATAGTAATCATTTGGTTCACACTCCTCCCTGGTCTTTTGAGCAGTAGTATATCCCTTGTTTAGGATTGGGTTTCTGGTTCCTTCCAAAGACTTTTAATTCTCTTTCGCTTTTAGTAGTCTATTGTGTCTTAGTGATATTATTGTCTTGCTTGAGGTGAACTGATTAAAAAAATTGCATAAATTTGATATTGTATATATATATTATACTGACATCACTCACTGGCAATCATATAACCCGTCTGATTCAAGCAAAGGGAGATAATCGCCCCTTTTCATCCCTACATATATATCTAATTGAATAACAAGATGGAAAAAACTTCTAAATAAAATCCATCTCTAGAAGAAACTCCTTCAGATTAATAATGATTTTATCAATAGTCAATTTTTTATTTATGGAGAGGGGGTGAATACAGCAAACATTTGTCAGTCTCAATATATATAAGATTGACTCTATCGATAAAGCCATTATTAATCTGAAGAAGTTCTTTCTAGGAATGAAATATGTTACTTAGAAGTTTTTTTCCATTTTGTTATTCAATTATCCACTATTAGTCAGATTTTATATATATATATATATATATATATATATATATATATATATATATATATATATATATATATATTTAATATATGTATCTTTTATTAAATGAACATGTGATATTACCCTACAAGTGGCATCTCAAGTGCTGTGATGTAATGTTCTTATTAGTTCATGAATTATTTTCATGATTGCAGTGGAAATTAGGCAATGAATCATTGAATAGCTTCCACTGTACTTTTGCCTAGAGTTAACATGAAGAGTAAAGTTTGTCAAATATGTATTTCACATCTAATCATGAACTTCACCAAAATAAATAAAATTATCACATTTCTACAAATAATTCTTGAAGAATATGCATGCACACACATGCACACACACAGCAATAAAGAGTTGAGTAAACTTAGAAGTAATTTAAAAAATATTCCTAATATATGAAAATGGTTGCATCAACCTAATAGCCTTGAGATGCTGTATGATGACTTTTGAAGGAAATGGCTGAAGAAATGGTTATGGAAGAAAAGCGCTTAACGGACTTTGAGAGTTGGCTGCATGAAGTAAGACAGAAGAGAAAGGTAAGTAGGTTTTTCTTTTATTTTCCTTTCTGTTTTAGGAAGAAAATTTTCTTTTTTGTGAATTTTTTGGTTTTTAACACACTGTTCAGTTCCCTTGTATAAAATGATGTTTAAGAATATGGTGTATGCATTTCAGGAACTTCAAGAATCTCGTGCTATTCGTCGCCAACGTCGAGCTGATATGGCCAAACGAAGAACTTTAGCTTCACAACAAAGAATGCGAATTATTTCCCAACTGGCGCAAAGTGAGTAGATTTTATAATTTACAGTATTTAAATTTTAAATTCTTAATTCATTCTGAAATTCTTTAGGATCAACAGAGTACATGAGATGTATAAGAATTAAAAAGAAGCATATCTCAACAGATCAAATAAATAATAAATTGAGACTTAAATAAAAAAAAAATATGCCATTTTGTAGAATTTATTATGAAACATTCTTTATAGAGCCAAGAGCTTCTATTAAGCCATCAGCTCTGTTCAACATTCCTCTAAGGTCACTAACACCATAGACCCCAGAGGAAAGCTAGAAGGTAACAGATATGACAAAAAAGTAATATGTGTTGAGCATTGCAAATATTTCTTAACCTTTAAAAGCATTTAGTTGGAGTCAAATAATTAAAAAGTTACTGAATTGTTTCAATCATAATAAATATTCCCAGTTTGCATTTCCCCATTACAGGCATTATTATATCCATGATATAGTAACATCTTAATACACAAACAGAATAGCTGAAAGAAAGGAATAACAAACATGCATGGTTCTCAAAGAGATTTTTTATACCAATATTTACATACTAGTTACTAATTTGTCCCACACAGAGAAACTATAACATATGTATACAACAAGAAATGTGAAAGGGATGAAAAGTGAGAAGGTCTTATTTGTAATATTTCCCAGCAAGAAAACAGGCAGGTCAGTGGTGTTCTTTATGTGCCAGATGAGTCCATGTTTTCTCTGTATATCCTATTTCTGTGAGCTTTGTCTTCTCTGCAACCTAGATAACACCTGGCATTGGCAGCCATGTCTTGACATGATAAATAGGAAATAGCATTTGAATTTCCATAAACTGACATCATGCATCAGTTGTCATATGACCCTCATAAATTAGTCAACACCACCAATATAGAAGGCCTGTTCGATTAGACATGAAGTCACCACAAATAGTATAAGCTGAAGTGAAGCTGCCGAAAATGAATGATTGTAGCCTTTTTTTTTTTAGTATAGAATGCTTTTTAAATTACAACTAAAAAGAAAAAGGGGATCGAATTTCATCTTAGAACTTTATTCAATATTAATTTATAAAAATAAAGAAAATACAAGTAAACAGTAATATTATAAAAACATTTTATTCCATAAAAAGTTACGATATTGACAATTGAAATTGACGGAATAATTTTTCATATTAAACAAAGAAAAGCAAACCAGAGTTCAATTTTTACCTTACATCTTTAAATAAATAAACAATAAATAGATTAAAAAATTGTTTTTATTTTAACGATTATTCCATAAGTTACTATACTGACATAGAATATTTTTATATTACAATTACATTAGAAAAGAAAGAAGCCAAGCTTAGATTTTTACCTTAGATTAAACTTTATTTTCTAAAAGAAAATTATTTAAAGTTTTACATTTGTTGCTATGTTAAAGTAAACAGTGTATGTTACAATATTGACATTTTTGCTGTGTAGACAATAAAGCAAATTTTAAATAATTGTAGAAAAAAATATTACATCTGGAAAAGTTAGCTGAAGATTTGAATTTTTTTTTTTTTTTGGTTAACTTGTTTCTAGTAATAATTATTATTATTATTATTATTTTCCCTAGCACAAAAATTATTCCAAAGAACATTTGAAGATCTTCAGATAAGCATTCTTTCTAGTTTTCAATTCCACATGAAAAAGATGATCATTATTTTCTAAAACATTCAAGGTTATATGCATGGCTAATTTCCTTTCATTTACTGAATGAAGAAAAGAATTTTTTGTCAATTTACCAATAACTATAGAATTACAGAGAACAGCATTTGTAGTAGTATCATTAGAATATAACAGAGAACTTTATTAATCCCTTGAAAATAGCTGTTTATTTCCAGTATTTTGTCCTCATTATCACTTCCACATATTAAATTCTTACAACAGTTGCATTTCATTTTCTTAACAGCATAACAGCAATAAACAGCTATGTATAATATAACTTTTTTGCATTCATTAATATCCTCATCTGTTAAATTTGTAAATATCTAAATTTTGCTTCCCTGCCATTTCATCCCACTTTGTACATTCAAATCAATGCTTTGGTTATTAAGTGGCAGGCTCAACTTTAAAACTGACATCATTCTAATTTTTTTCACACTCAAACACTTGACATATAGATATTATATCGATCATCACAAATTTTCCAGTATTGGCCAAATCTATCCTCAAGGTAATCTGTTTGAAATTCACCATCTAATACATACGTCATTTTCAATTCTTCTGTGCAATATTTGGTCTGTATCTGTCTATATTTCTGAGATGAGGTATTATGTACATTATTCAAACTATTGTCACCATAATTACAATGTTTTGGCCTTTGTACACTCTGGCATTCTTCAGGTGGTTGGAATGTCAAACTTAACCCTTTATTTCACTCACTGCGGTAGACTGTTCTAGTTCCATGTGCCATGTTTAATGGATGTCAGTTATCAGTTATCTCCTGTTAATTTCCCTCTGAAAGTTCTCCACTGCCTTAACAGGGTATTGAACTCACACTATTTGGGTCCTATCACTGGATCTAACCAATGCCTTTATCCACTGTGCCATGTGTCCTTGAGGACATCTGTGTATGAAACGTAATAAATATGGCGACAAAGATGTGGACAATAGTCCAAATAATGTAAATAAATATTTGGTCAATTCTAGAATTGCATGAGCAGTATCATGCAAAGCTGCAAATGTTTCATTTGTTAGATTCCCATTATTTCCAGTAATGCTATTCCAAGATTCTAACCAGAATACATTGAAAAATATATAATTGTCATCATTTACTTTAAGTGGATTAGCATATTTATTAAGCCACCAAATGATGATTCAGTATTGTTCACCAAGTATAAAATATGTTTATGTATTCTGCAACTGTTGCAAAGTTAGACAAACATTTGTTTCCCTAAGGTCAACAGTTCCTGAATAGTGAATTAGTTACAAAACTAATGAATCCTTTTCCCTTTCTAAACTATTGGAAGAAAGAGTCTTTGAGGCCAATTTATAGCAATATTTCAAAATTGACTGAGATTCCAAGACATGAAGCTTCTGTAAAGTACAAAATGGGGCACTTTGGATATTATCTAAATCTTGATTTCCATTATGACAAAAATTTGAAAACATCATGCATTTACTTGCATCTTTTTCACCAAATCAGTTGTTTTGAATGCATTTTGGTATATGACCTGAATTAAATATGAAGAAAAGAGGTCTAGATTTTGTAACTGGATGTGGATATACAACTAGAAGTTTTGCAAGACTACAAAAGAAAGATATAGCTTTCTTATTTATTGCATAGAAAATTGTGTAAGAAAATTGTTATTGTGTTGCTCAGCTCTAAGATTCCTATAGGTTGATAAGGTTAGTTTTCTGATGGCTGAATAACTCAATAAAATTATATTTTTGGTGTCTTTTAACAGCTTATAATCTCTAGAGAAGAAGTTCTACAACAATGAAGAAAAAAAATCATCATTTCTGCTGAATAATCAAACTTACTCTGTGTCATTAATTTTAGCTGCTCATATATAAATTTAACTGCATAAAATTATCTAAATGACTCATCTTGAACTAATAACAGAAAGGACATTACCAAATGTAATACAGCAATCACACTTTGAGGTTTGGTTTGAAATTCTTCTATGTTCATTTTTTTCATGTTTTCAATAATAATTTTCAAAGTATTTATATCACTTACATGATCAGGAATCTGATACTTCCCTATAGTATTAATTTCCACATCACCACAGAACATATGTACTTCAAAATCAGGTTTAATTATAACAGATTGACTGATTTTTGAATATGGAGACTTGATGATGTGACATATAATAAGAAGAATCTCTTGCTACCTCACTATACTCCTGTAATTTCTATTGAGAAAATTTCATTTTCCCTCTTATATCATTAATGCTGTGAAATCTCCTCTACTGAATGTATTCCAAATCATCAGCAATACTTTGATCTAAAGCTCTTTTAAGGGTAGAATTCATTAGTTGAATTTTTCTGGACTCTGGTGATTCTCTCTAGAGTGGGTTAGTGAAGATAAATATGAGGGACAATTTGGTAAAATTTTAGGGATTGTGCCTACACGAAGAATTGCTTTATTAAGGCTAATTGTGATACCAGTTTTCTTGTTTCTTGCTTTATATCCTCAGGATGAAGATGCAGTTCATATACCTAAAGAAATAAATTAAAAGGGCAATTTCACCTTATTTTAAAACACTTGTCAAAATGTAAGATAGTAAAAAAAATTATGTCGTCCATATTTTAAATTGATAAAATAATGAGTTTTGTAGGTGTTCTAAAATTCAGTAACAAAATTCAAAAACATTTAGAAAAACTAAACACATTGGCAAAATCATGTAAACTTAAGCAAATTTTAAGTTTACACATGCATATTTTTTTACAAATAAAAAAACATTCAAATGTTTGTTTTTAAATGTTTATTAGAAATTATTATAAAAATTTTCTTTAAGTATTTGTATCAAAAATTTTAATTTTATTAAAAAATGATGAGCTCAATGTATTGTGAATTATAAAGTCATGAAATTAATTTATCCATTAAGTTTTAATGTTTTTTACAAATAATATAAAAGAAATTACTTGCTTTACTATTTTTGTTTGGTATAAAATTTTCCCTTTTGATGGCACATATCTATGCATATGATAAATCTTTTATCTTTTGGAAATGAAAATATTTTAAAAAATATTGACAAAACAAATAAAAAATCAAGTCAAGAAAACTCAAATAGTAAAAACTAATGAATGTATTTCTCTGAGTTTATACTATATATAGTGACGTCAGTATATAAGCCCTCTCATCAAACAGACATTCTATCTAGGTGGTGTTGCTTCATCTCAACCAAAGTGAGATAATCACACTTTGCTTCCCTACAATATGTTAAATAAATGTCCCTGATTTGTACGTATTAATTTGTTTGCAATTATGCAACTAATATTCTTCAGCAACTAATTGATGGTTGCCTGTTATATCAAACTTAAATTTTATTTTTAACATCCATGCCAACAGTTTGTTGTTCTTATTCCTATACCTGTCATGGTAGTATTATTCCTAGAGAATTTCAGTTCTTTTTTATACTATTCTGCCTTACCACTGAGCTAGTGTATATTTCTCCATTATCTGACCCAGCAATTGGATTCATATTTTCCATGGAACCAGATTAGCTTTAACATTGTCTTTATCTTATAGGCTATATAACATGTTAAGATAATGAGCTTTGGAGCCTTAACTCTAATATATGTTCTTTGCTCACTCGTGACTTCTATATGGTGCTAATACAAAGTCTGTATTAGGACTTGGGCTATAAAAAGAAAACCATAACAGATATCAATTTGGCATTTAATCTCATTTGAAGTAATTCCCTTCTGAAGTCACACACTTTCTCCAGCATCATTTCCACTGATGGAAGCATTCCTGGAAGTTCTTTTTGGGGATAGTAAGCAGCTGCCTCATCACATTTGCTTGGATTTCCTCAACGTCTTGAAATCTTGTTCCTTCCAAGTCCTTCAAAAAAACTACGAAGAGCAAGATCTAGGGATACAGTGAATATTGGGAAATGTTGTGGGTGGCCAAAAACTGCTGTGAGAGCCATGATTATTGATGTGGCCTCTGTAGAGTGGTGAGACAACCACACTCTATACACTTTCCTTCCAAGCACTACTGTAAACAACAGAAGTGAGCAAGAACTTTATAACTTAGTGTGTATGTGCGACAGAGTTCAAGGTCAATCTGTGCTAAACAGCTTCACTCTGCATACTTTAGTTCCATTACCATAGCAGTAGCCCTGATACTTTTTGATCAGATATCATTTATACTCAGCTTACTGATTAGATGATTTAAGCATAGCAAATGCTACTACTTTCAATAATCTTATCTTCTCATGTTTTTCAGTGTCCATTATTTTGATTTTGTTCTGTAAGGGTTAGTGCACCACCTTTTTTCTTGTTAGGAAAGACACTAGATTTGACAAGTACAAGAATAAAAAAAAAGCTTACTCCTGTGTGTCAGTTAAAGGATTCCTGTTTTACATTCCTAGAAGGTTATAAAATATGACCTGAGAAAGGCCAGAAAATACAAAGTCATGCTGAATTATTTTCAACCCAACCAAGAGGCAATTCCAAAAAAAAAAATCTGATGTTTGGTCAGACTTGGGGAAATGAGGTAGACATAATACATTTCATACATTGACTGAAACATTGTTATAAAATCAAAAGCAAGAAAAATAATCCAAATGAGTTCAGTGTAAAAGAAATGTTTGATTCACACAATTTAAATACTCTTGGAATTTTTAAAGATTTTGGAAATATATAGATTATTAAAGATTGGAACTATACAAATGTTTAAAGATTTTTGAAACTATACAGATTTTTTGACTATTATGCAATTTCTTCATTGAATTTTTAAATTCCTGTAATGATGAATTATATTTTACACTTGAAGATGAAATGTATGTATGTAATCACAAAATAAGTTAAAAATCAATTGAAAACTTGTCTTACAAATGAGAGATTATATTTGTTGAAATTGTGAATGTTGCTATATCGAAATGATGATAAATGATAATTCAATTAAGTGCATATATTATGTATTAGAGATAAAAAAAGAAGTATAGCTCAAATGAATTTGTAATTTTACAAAATGGACAAATTGAACAGTTGGTTTTGATGCCCCTAAAGATTAAATGGTGGGAATATAATCTCCATTTAAATAATTTTCATTTGCACTGATATTTTTCTGACTACTGTTAAAATACATATCCCATTCATTTTGTGATTATAAATTTTTGTTCTTCATCTTTTTGTTGCTATTTGTCACAACATTCTTGAACTAGTGTCTAATTTAACAATGTTACTGCTATGAATACTTTACAATTCTGAAAATTTGTAATAGAGAGATAGTAATTGTATTATAAGTGGTAATAGATTAGAATTACTGATACTGAGTACATAAGGGCATCAGGTTGTGCCCCTTGTTTTACTGTTATTTTTTTCCCTTTTTCGGATAATTAAAAAAATGGTTTGAAATGAGATGTGTGTTGTCTGTAATGTTATCACTAAAAAAGAAATATGGCTATAGATTTGTACAGCATCTAGACATCAGTTTCTATATCTGAATTGGTCAAGATGTCTTCCTTGAAAAACAATTGATGAGATACAAGTTCAATAATCTAGTTTAGTTATAAAGCTATCTCTTTTTATTCCTACTTCATCTGTACTATCTGTGATCTAAGGAACACTCGTCTAAAGAATATATGCCTAAGAAATATTAATCTAGAGAATTATGGTCTAATGTGGTGTGATGGGTAAATTGTTGCCATTTTATATTTTTAATTTTGCATGTGCATGTTGTCTGTTTTTGATTTTGTTGACTGCACAGTATAGTATGGTCAGTTGGGCACCATCTTTGAGAAAAAAAGCACCATGGTGCAATTCACTCTACCAGAAATTTGGAAATGGCATGCTGTACTGCTTGGCAGAAACTCCAATACAAACATTTCAGAGTGTTTGGGTGTCAAACTGAGGACAGTGCAGAGGATTCAGAAAGAGTTGGATGAGTCTAATGATGATTACAAAGGTATGGCAGCTTGGAAAACTTAATCTGATCATTCTGATGAGAAATGAACTCAGAAATTTGTTGGTGAGAGCCTCAGACTCAACATGGAGGCCTACATTAAGTGCCTTGAGGAGGTAGTGCTGCCCTGGGTCAAGAGGGTGGCTTCTAGAAGACTCTGTATCTGGCAACAGGACTCTGCACCATGCCACACACACAGGAAAACCCAGTCACATCTGTCAGACAATTTCTGCAATCACATCACCCCTTACATCTGGCCACCTAACCCCCCAGCCTGCAATCCCCATGATCATTATGTGTGAGGCGAGGTTGAGTGAGAGACCAACAAAAAACCTCCTTGTATCACCAAAGATGGACTGAAGGTAAGGATTATGGCAGCATTCACCAACTTAAACAAGGAGACTGTCCAGAAGAGTTGCAGAGGATTCTGAAGTTGCCTGGAGGCTGTGGTTGAAGTCAATGGTGATTTTATTGAATACATTTACTCTTTAGTATTTCAAGATATTTTTGTGTAATTTTGGTAAATATATATATGTTTAAATGAGATTTCAGTGTTATTTTCATTTTTGCATAATTTAGATGGCAACTTATCCATCAGATCCTGTATACAAACAATGCGTACCAATTAATGCTTATAAACCACATGTATCATGAGTAATTAATGTTGCTATAATTGTCTTAAATATCATTCTGTAATATAGTGAATATCAATAAGGTTGAGTATTTTGTACATGAATAAAGTGTTAATTTATTAAAAAATATTACACCAATGGTCCTTAGATGGATATTCCACCAACCAATGTTCTTAGACCAATATTCTTTTGACCAATGTTCCTAAGTCCGTACTATCTCATTATAAAGAAAGGAAGATAATTAAGTCACACTTTATAATTTACACCCCCCCCCCGTGCCTCAAATTAATAAAACCACTATCATTGGTTAGCTTTGAAAATGATATTCTGTCATAAATCATTTTTTTTTTGTTTGTGTGTTTTTATTCTAGATACTAAGAAGCATAAGGATGACAACTTTGGACAGAATGATGCTGACTGGGACGTTTATAAGGCCATTGTAAGTTTGATTTATTGAACTTAAGATATATATCACTAAAAACAAAATCTTTTTATAATGAAGATATTTATAGTACTGGAGGTGAGCAATCATCAGTTTTTAATTATGATGTCAATTCACAAAAATAAAAATTACTGTTTGTGGATATGTTATTTAAAAAGATTATACAGTCTCACTTCTTTTTTTTCAATCTATTTCTATCAGGTTTTATAAATTAGGAGTTTCTGAAAAGTCCTAAGCCTGACCAAATAACCAGATTTTGAAAAACTGCTTCTTGGTTGGGCTTAGAACTTTTCAGCACCCTTTATACAAGTGGTATTTGTATTTAGTAAACTTGGTTTAGTCTGGCACATGTTTGAGAAGGGGGTGGTCAACCAATGAAGTTTAGACTCATCCAGTAGTAGTCTACAAATTTAATATGGTAACCACTGCCCCACTGAAAGATGACCAAAGTTATTGCACAAGTTTTAAATATTTGCTGTCTGTATAATTTAGCAGATACTGGTGCAGAATGTTGGATCGGCATGCTAAGTTCAAATTCTGAACAAGTTCGTTATGTTATCTTTCGCACAAATACTCTTCAAAAAAGTATGACTATATTTCTTCTACTCCTTTCTTGTCTGCAAAGCAGACTAGGTTCACCATCTTTGGTTGACTGGAGAATAGGACTGTCAACTCCACCCTGTAAAAAAAGCCTACTTGCTATGGAAATCACAGTAGCAGCACTCAGTGGAGTGAGGCTGTAGCTCTATACCCCATAGGACTCTAGTTGAACTAAGGAGTGTTAATATTTATATTTGATACTTGAATATTTCAGCAGTTATTTGGGTTTTCTCAAACAGGAAAAGCTGCGAGAATTGACCATATACAGAATACAAAAGAACTCTGTACAAAGCAATTAATAAAAATCTATAAAATATTTAATCTTTCTCCTGGATCTGTCTGTCCCTTCACTATAAATCATGGATTCTCAATAAATAGTTAGGATATTCATGCCAGAGAGATCATGCCAGGTTCCCATAGTATAAGCAAAAGCAAAGAGAAGAAAAAAATCCAATTTGAAGAATTAGTGACCAACAAGACAAGACAAGAAATCTAAGAGATAACTTTGGTAAAAAAAAACCCCAAGACTACAGTATTCATAATCCTACTTTCTTTCAGACTAGTATCCTCATCTTGGTTATAGTTACTATATTTCAGTTGTTATACTCCCTGGGCTTCCTCAGGTATCCATTTTATTTTGTAACCCTTCTGAGAATCTCAAACTAAATTTTTTATGCAATCAAATCAAATTCAAATGTTGAATCTAATCCCATGAATTGAATAAAGTGTTCAGCTCAAAATTCCTAGAAGATCACCAAATAGACATATGAAAAAGACCGAATAATACAACATCTGAAATATCATATCTACAAAAACTAATATGTGGACACTAGCCGTAATAGATCATTGAGACATACTCTTCCTTGACTTGGAGGAGAATAAATTGCAACAGCATCCTTGTTTTTAATTATCCTAATTTGATCTAACTAAACATTAAAAAAAAAATCATATTAGTTCTAAAAGTATCTAGGTCAAAGGACAAATCTCAATGTTTAACCTGTATGCCTGCAAAAAAAAAATGGTGTATCAAAAGGACAGTTATTCCCTTGACACTGCTATAACACCTTTTTTTTTACTTCCTCAGTAATGTTTATTTACAAGATTATAGAAATATATGAACCAAGTACAACATGATATTTATTATATACCTTTTATAAAGAAACAAATTTGAAAAGAAATCTTTTTATTCAAAAATTTATAAAAAAAAATTACAAAATTATTGAAATATGTAAACCAACAATATTTACAGTAAAAATCACAGACATTCTATAAATAAGCATAAGGAAAACTTAGTCCGCCCAATGAGTGAGCTACAGACTCAAAATATTGAATATCTGTGGTGTTGCCTACAATCAAAAGAATGTTTGGTTCAGAAAAAGAAATGCTCTCAACTTATTTTAAGGAATTTATGTAATGAGAGTAAATTAAACTAATGCCCAGAAAATGCATTTTTACAAAATTTATAATCTCAGTTACTTGTCGTTATGTGTTTATTTAAATTTTATTGTTTGCAGATATTTTTATAAATTTAAGAATAAAAAAATTTATTTTCAAATTTATTTCTTTGTTAAATGATAAATATTTCATTATAGTCAGTTCACATGTTTTTATAATCTTGTAAATATAAAATTATTCTTGTAAATAAGCAATAGTGTTTAATATCTTTATCAGAATTGATAACAAAGATATTAAACACTACTTATTTAAGTAGATTTATACATTTTCTTTATTCTTAAGAATTCAAGAATAAAGAAAATGGATGAATCTACTTTCATTTGATTGGGTTTTATCAAAATTCTAATCATTGCTTTTAAACAATAAACATTGCTGAGGGAGTAAAAAAAAAATGGTGTAATAGTTGTGTCATTGGAGTAACCATTCTTTTAACACACTGTTTTTTTTTTTTTTTTTACAGGCACAAAGATTAGATTTTGCCCAAAGCAAAAGAAAGAAAGCAGAAGAATTGTGATATGTTGCTAATATATTTTATGAAGATAATTTTACTTTTGACCTCACAAGAAATCAACTAATTTATACCTTCACAAGTATAAACTATAAGTATACCTAGTATAATTATAGTTTGCTTAAAATTTTCTGTACACCTCCAAAATATGTTAATTTTAATAATATTGTTTTGTTTTTAACTAACTGATTATGAATAAGACAATAAAAGAATACATTTTTAAAATATAATTTTATATATTTTAATCAAAACATGCTTCATTTGATTCTCTCTACTAACAAGTGTATGATAAAAATTTTACTTCTTTTTTTTTACTTTTAGAAGCAAGAAACATTTTGAAGCTAAAATATTGCCCCCAGATTGTTGAATGTTTTTATTTTGGATGAAATGCTCAAAAAATAAGAGATAGGTCATGTGATTCCAGAGAATATTATGATATCCTAGTGATTTGTGGAACATGGAGTCTGATATTATGCAACAGAATTGGTCCTCACATCTATAATTTGTTTAATTTTCTTTTTAGAATACAGAAGGAGGAGACACTGACTCAGAAGCTGAAGAGGAACAGCTGGAAGAGCTGGAAGCCATGCTGAGAGATTATGACCCTGAGTTCCAAAAGTATGTAATTAGAATAACATTTTATTTGTATACCTAACCCTTTCAAAAACTAGCATTTGCTTTACTATTTACATTATTTGGACTATTGTCCTCATCTTTGTCACCATATTTATTACATCATTTCAGCCATTGTACGCTCTGGCCTTCTTCAGGTGGTTGCCATGTGTCCTTGGCACGGTGGATAAAGGCGTTACTTAGATCCAGTGACAGGACCCAAAGAGTGTGAGTTCAGTACCCAAAGAGTGTGAGTTCAGTACCCAGTTAAGGCAGTGGAGAACTTGGAGAGGGGAATTAACAGGAGATGACTGATATTCAATAACATGGCACATGGAACTAGAACAGTCTACCCCAGTGAGCAAAATAAAGGGTTCAGTTCGACATTCCAACCACCTGAAGAAGTGTACAACGACCGAAACGTTGTAATAAATATGGCGACAAAGATGAGGATAATAGTCCAAATAATTTAAATAGTGTACTTAATACCTTACCTCAGAAATATAGACAGATAGCATTTGCTTATTGTTAAAAGTAGATCTTCCCTGTTTGATGAATTATTATTTGATAAAAATATAGTAGAAATTGAAACTATCAGTATTCTTTGTATTGCCCTGATTCTATGTGGACTCATTGGAATGCAGCATTACTGAAAGAAATATTTTTTTAAATAAGTGAACTTTTATAAAAGACATGTAAAATATGTTTGAAACGAATCACAAACAGAGCAAAACATGCAGAAGTTTAGACTCATGCCTTTGATAGTAGAATACAAATGATACAAGAGACTGTATCTAAAATTTGAACATTGTCCAATAATTTTGATACTGAATTAATTTATGATCTACCTTTATATGGTTATCATAGATTTTGCAATCAATCTAAGAAAAGGACAACTTTGAATACAACACTGGAGAAGACGACAAGAAAACAATCCATTATCATGGCAATACCCAGTTTACAGATATTAAAGAAAAAGAAGCTGTGGAGGCTATGATTGCCTGAAAGGACATGGCACTTGATGTAGAGAAATCATGTTAGACTAAGCAATAGGTTTGCTAGAGTGTTGTAACAAAAATCTGTAACATTCATTTTTAATACTGCAATATTTAAATTGTTTACTGCAAAACCTCTTATGATTATGACAATTGAGGTTAATTTTGTTTTTAAGAATGTTACATTCTCTGAAATATGAAAAAAAAAAACAGCATGAAAATTTCTTTCTACAGCCTAAATTCTTAGAGTGCAGTCAGTATTCTTTCAATGATTATTTTTCAGTATGTGTGAAATGTAAAATTCACATAAAATTTATTTAATAGGGAACTTGAAGAAAATGCTGGAATAGGTGAATTTGACATTGCTGAATATTATCGTTTACATCTTGGAGTAGAAAGGATTCGGTAAGAAGAAGTTTTCTATTTAATTATTTATCTTCTCATTAATTCTTCAGTTTTTATGTCTTCAATTTTAGTTTTCACTGCACATTTTTTACTACTGATGCCAAGTATAGCATTTTTATTTCTTTTAGTATTAGTCTAAAAAGTTCAATTCCTGTTTCATTAAAAGGAAGTTAAAATTTTGTCAATTTCCAAAATAAATTAGTTTAATTGTTACTGTCAATGGCAAATTAAAGAAACACAAATATACGTAACTTGGAAGAAAGCATAAAACTTTGAGTCCCTAATGCAAATTTAAATATGTATTTCAGCAGCAGTTTTTCATTAATATGTTTTATTGAAAATAACAAACAAGGATTTTTTTTAAGTTAACTTTTCTTGATTACATACAAGAGAGGATATGTTGGTGTTTAATAATCATAGATAATGTTTGAATTTATGTCATGTCACTCTACAGGTTCTATTGGTACCATATAACCCAGTACTACCTGCTGCAGGGTCAAGTCATCAGCGACTAAACTGAATAGTAAGCTACTAAAAGCTACTAGGCTTTTGTGGTAATAAGGGTGGCAAGACACTCAGCAGGATTAATAACATGACCTGTTAAAGGGTGGGTGAACCTTCTTGTAGGGGTCAGCAGCCATCTAGCATAACAGAGTAGACTGGGCTCCATAGCTATGTATGCAGCCAATGGGGTGATGACAGATCATTGCTAGATTGAGGGCTTCCTTGATTGAAGTCAACTGGTAGGGCAAAGGATTTCTCCAATGGAATTAACAGCCATGCATCCATGATTTCCGGTTGGAAGACTTTGGTTGTGGTTTGACCTAGAGAGGTATGGGTGTTGTAAATTAGGAATAGACACCTAATTATTCCCTCTTCCCATTAGGCAAAAGACCTCCATGTTTGTTTGTACATAATGTGTGTATTTGTTCGGTATTAAAACCTATACTAACAGTCTTCTAGTCTTAAGTTCATTTTAACTTGCAGCAATTTAATAACAAACAAAAATAATCATAATGGACAGATTATTGCACTCTGAAAGATTTGCTATTGAGCCATGAAAACGCTTGACGTCGCTTATCAAGCCCATGAATGCCATGTACAACAAACACTGGCTAATTACCCTAAAGCCTCAACCAGCCCACACAACAGACATTTTCATACAACAATTGGAGATTCTGGCTAAAATGTGTGACTTTCAAGCAGTAACTGCCAAAAAAACCCAAAAAACAGTATATGTGAAATGCATTCATCAATAGCATCACCTCCACGCCAATCTAACAGTGACTACTCAAAAAATCCTCACTGACATAAGAAGCATACAAAATGACCAGATCACTGGAACAAGCAGAAAAACAATCTACATTCTATGAACAAAGGAATATAATTACTGCCCACATAATTTCTTCAGAGGAAAATGCCAGTGTAGCTAGCATACAAAAAGATACTAAGCTTAAGGAAATTTGCTTCTTTTGTGGAAACCCATGACATCTGCATCACCTATGTCATCTGTAATGCTGATTGCAAAAAATGCTTAAAAAGTATGCAGGTCTTCAGTATCAGTCGTACTATACAATACTAACTCTCCCAGTCATGCATGACTAAGAACAAAAACAAAGGATATTACCTTAACCAAGTGCAATATAAATGGAAACGTTGTCAATGCCATGGTAGATCCTGGTGGCATGGGAACTTTTATCAACAATAATATGGCAAAAAAGTTAAACCTTTTTGTCATATCAAAACAAAAGACAATAGCCTTAGCAGACCCTAACCAACATGCAAAAATTGTTGGCGAAGCAATAGTTGATATCACCCTGAACAACAGGACACATTCTGGTATGATAATAGAAGTAATTAAAAATCTATTCATTGATACCATCATAGGAAACGACATACTGAAAAAATATAACAAAGTGACCTTGAGATTTGATGGATCCAGGAATAAACTTGTTATCGGAGTGGTCACAAATAATAACCATTTCCTATCCATAGACGTTCCACCTCTCCTACTTTTTCCCATCTTTCCATTAATACAACTCCAATCATCACACTATCGCTAATAGTAAATTCATAAAGGAAGAAACTGCTAGAATGTTGAAAGAAGGTATAGGAGAGCCTTCAGTGTCTCCTTGGTGAGCCCAACTACTTGTAACATCAAATGAAAACTATAAAAAAAGAATGGTAATTGATTACAGTGACATCATCACAGAACACAATGCTTACCCTATGCCCAATATTTAAAAAATGGTTGAGGATAGAGCCCAGTACAATATCTTCACTACACTTGATCTTTGATCGTCTTATCATCAGATCTCTATCAGCAAAGATGATCAGACAAAATAATACCATTGAACCACAACAAAGAATTTCCACAGCCACCATCAGCGTTACACTCCTTCTAAATGCTGAAAAACAATTTAAAAGACTCTACCCTAGTAACTGTTGACCCTGATAAAGAATTTGAAGTAGAAACAAATGCTAGTTATTACTGCATAACTGCAACCTTAAATCAACAAGGCCAACCTGTTGCATTCTTTTCTCAGACTCTAAATCCTAACAAAATCAAATATCATGCTGTTGAAAAGGAAGCTGCCACCATAGTCAAAGCTTTACAGAAGTAACATCACTTTCTACTTGGCAGACACTTCAGAGTCATAACAGATCAAAAGAGTATTAGCTTTATGTTCAATCACATGAGGAAATCAAAGATAACACTGATAAGATATGCCGTTGGTGCATCAAGCTGTCCCAGTTTAAATTCAGTATCATTTATCATCCAGGAACTAAAAATATGGCTGCTGATACTTTTGCCCTCACTCACACGTTGCAAGATGTTTGTGAATTGCATCTTCAGTTATGTCACCCTGGAATTACATGCCTCTTTCTCTTTACCAGAGCAAGAAATCTCCCTTTCTCCTTAGATCAAATAAAGAGCGTAACCAACTCCTACACATCCTGCCAGTACTTGAAACCAAAATTCATAACTGGTGGCAGGGGCACACTTATAAAAACTATACTGCCATTTTAATGATTAGATATTGATTTGAAGGGACAGTTACCATTATCTATACACAGTAACAAATATCTACTTACTGTAATTGATGGATTCTCTCATTTTCCATTTGCCTTTCCCTGCAAAGATATGGCAAGCAGAACTATCATCCACAGTCTGAACCATCTGTTTTCAATTTTTGGTGTGCCCAGTATGATCCAAACCGATAGAGCTGTCAACTTCCTCTCAGAAGAAACTAAAAACTACTTGCATGAAGGTAATGGACAAGTAGAGAAACTAAAGAAACTGACACTCCCAGTGGAGTCAATGCTGAAGAAGAAAAACCCACCGAATCTGTGCAAAAGTTATCTAGAATACAAAGAATTCCCTACAAATTCAGGGATTTTATAACTGAATAGGAGACTAACAATCCCCCTACCCTCCTTTTAATACTCCTTGAAGAGGAAAATGTTGTAAATTAAATTATCACCTCCCCTTAGATCATTCCTACCCCTGATTGATACTATACTGTATCACAAAGAGACATCTAATTATTCCCCCTTCTCATTTGACAAAAGACTTGAAAAGACTTCCATGTTTGTTTGTACATAACGTGTGTATTTGTTCAGTATTAAAACCTATACTAACGGTCTTCTAGTCTTGCATTCATTTTAACTCACAACAATGAGCTCCACCAGGTCAACCTGCCCAAGACACATTATACATGAATGAATACTTCTCCAGCTTTCAGTCCATACATGTGGAGTAAGCTGGTCAGTACTCAACTGTACAATGACCCTACAACAACACCCAGTCATCAGACTGAAGATGATTGTCTGAATGTTAATTATTAAGCTCTTTCAACCACACTTCTGGACATTTTCAAGATCCAGAATTATACAGATATTTCTTTCCTATCAGCCTTTGTATGCAAACACCTTTCTTTTCCCTTCCTCCCACAATAAAAATCAAATCTACCGTTCTGCATAAATTACTTCTTTTTATTATTTTCATTCCTTCCTTTGAATACCAAGGCACCATTTACACCCAGACTGAAGGTGTCTCAATGGGGTTACCTCTGGAGCTTTCATTCTGCAACTACTACATGTCCCATTTAGAAAATATTCAAAAACCTCACTAAACCTACACTTTACATCTTATACATCAACAATATTTTTATTCATAACAAAATATAAAATAACAATCTGTCTTAAAAAAAACAATTCAGTCTCCCATTTCACATCTGAATTTAATATAAAAAATCAAATCCCTTTGTTAGATGTCTTTTTGACTTCAGCAGCAAACTGCTAAAAATCTCTATATATTAAAAAAAAAGTTCAAACTACTGCCATCTTAATTTATAATATTGACTGTCATCACAGGTATAAAATATCTATGATTAATAATTTGATCAATAGGGCAAAATTTATTTCTTTTTTCTGTATACTTTTCTACAAACAACTTCATAACAACAAAGACTATGTTGTCAAAAATACATAAAACTAATATTAAAAAACACTCCAGTAAATATTTATTATCTTTTCCCAGAGTACCAGAATTGCTATTTCAACCATCAATGATTGGTAATGAACAAGCTGGTTTGGCTGAAACAGTTGATTATGTGCTAAAAAAATGTTCCCCTGAGGACCAGAATGCTTTGGTTCAGGTGAGTTTAACATGGTCTTAAAATCTTGATTGATGATATGAAACATGCCATTAAAGCTACATAGTGTATGACTGATTTTTAATACATATAGTTCCAAAGTCTGGTTAGATTATCAATTTTACCTGACAAACAAGACACTTTTTAGAAGAAAAACTAATAATATATTGTAGAGGACAATACAGATTTCTTACATCAAGGTTATCAGTATTTAGCAATGATGTTGATGAGTCACTGGTTTGTATAAAAGCCAATGTTGGCTTTATCTATTTACAGTTATAACAGTTATAATGTAATAAGGATTCAATAATTTGTGTTTTGGAAAAAAAAGAGGGTTAAGTATATTGCTCATCTTGTATGAACTTGTCTATTTTTATTTGTACTGTGTTAAAAATGTGTGGCAAGCTTAAGCTCCTATTTTCCTTATAGTAGGCTTCATTGGGTATTGATGGGTGACAGATAAGTATTAAAGTTGTGAACTTTAACATTAAAAATTTGCAAAGCTCTTATATATTGTGGTTGATGTAAGCTTGAATAGATAGGAAAACTTACAGTAACAAAAGATATATTCTAACTTATATTTATAGTTGAAATGGTCATCTGTAGAAAGTTTATTTACACTATTTACATGCAGAATATTGTCCTCATCTTTTTTGTTGTTATGTCTCGGCCATTGCACCATCCAACCTTCATCAGGTGTATGCCAATCCAGGTAACCTACAGGAAATTTCGAACTGAACGCTTTATTTAATCTACAAAAGTAGATTGTTCTCATTCCACTGCCCATGTCAAGGGTTGTCTCATCTAGTTCTTATTTTAGTACTGCTCAGTTATTACTTGCTCTGTTTCTACCGGGTCCAAATACACTATCTGACTCAGGGATTGAACTTACAATTACTATAAGCAATAACTAAGAACTAGATTAGATATCCCTAGATGTGGGCAGTGGAACAAGAACAATTTACTTTTGTAGATTAAATAGAGTTCAGTTTAAAATTCTGTGTAGGTTACCTGGATTGACATACACCTAATGTAGGCACAACAGTTAAAATGTGATAACAACAAAGATGAGGACAATAATCTGCATGTAAATGATGTTCTTTTTTTATTTTTTTGTTTCTCAAAGTAACATTTGATGACAAACTGTTTACTCTGACATCCAGTGTAAAATATATATGTATGTGTCTACCTTTCATGGTTGCTCCTTGTCATGGTGGAGGGGCTTGCATGGTCCAGTGACTTTGAGAATAATGCCATTGAGAGTTCTAAACTCCTGGTAGGTCCACCCTTAGTGGCAAAGTCAAAGACAAGATCCCAGACTAAGTGCAACCAATCCCAAAGATCCCAACGGTGGAACAAGTGGATGATGATTACAACAGATCTCAGCAGTTGAACCATCAGATGAAGAGGCTACACACAACAGACATGCTACAGAAGGCACCATTCAAAATTATAACATCAGTCCATTGCAGTTTCATAACTGGATTCTGCATGTCTTATTCCATATGTGCTAAAGAGAAGGGTCATGAAATCAAAAGTGTAGGTCATTTCTTGGCTAGTTGACTCCACCTTAAATAAATTCATGCCTTTGGCATTTTCTTCTACTCTGATTTTCTCTCACTTTCAACCAACTCTTGCAAAGCCAAACAGCAATAGAAAATGGAGCAGGTTTTGGTGAAACTGGAAGCTTCTAGTCCTGAACCCGCACTTTGGTGGTGAATGTAGTCATTAGTGCCATCATCATAAAGGAAGTGATTCGCAAAGAAGAAATTAAATTCTTGGACATGAGATAAAGCCACTATTAACAAAATAGTATAAATAATAACTCATCATTCCAGAAAGTTTGTTTATAATAAGGATAAAGTTGAATTTCAGTATTATTTGTCTATTTATATGACAATAGATAAAATGTATCTGTGATAGGTTAGCATAATTATAAAGTTAAAATCAGTAACAATTTGTTGATGAGTTAATAAGCAACGTGTTAAGATAAATGATTCTTCTGTTAATTTATGATGTTTGTGTGTTTCATTATAGTTTGATTGCACTCAGGGATACTTTTGTATAACACCCAAGATGATACAAAGCCAAAATATTAACATAAAAACTTGAGTTATATTCTTAAATAGCCTTGTCAGATCTAGGCTCTCATATGGATGCCATGCATGTCATCCAGTTCCTTCGGAAATGTTTAAACCATCATCAATATGCAACCATATTTTCAGATCAATGATTAAAAATGGATTTAAGTGAATGAATCCTCTAGATCTCAAAGCAGAAATCCTTCATCAGATCTTATAGACTGGCACTACAGGATCACAAATGAAGAGCTTTACCAAATGACAAAAGCCACATCACTTGAAGACTTCCAACAGCAACAACAACTAAAATGCATAGCAAAAAGGGGAAAATAATGGTATAATTATTGACTTTTCACATTACCTTAAACAAAAGATTAAAAAAGAAATTCCTACCAATATTTGAAAGAATGATAATGGTGAACTTGAAAAGCAGTTTTAAGAGAAAGATTTTATAATTTTCAACCTAAATTAATGCTAACTTTTCAGTCAATGTTGAATGTTGATAGAGCTACAGCATGTCTGATTATAGATTTGGACAGGCTCCAGAGAAGGAATTCACTTCTTTAGCAGTGCATTTTCATTGGTTGAAAAATACATTTTATGATTTTGTTTGCTGTTTGAAAGTGCTCTCCCAATCTCTAACTGAAATTTTCACTCTTGATTCAACATTTGTAGAGTAAATATGTTGACTTTTCCACTTGAAACACTAACTCTATTTTATGGATTTTCTAATATTTATTTTTCACAATGTCTAGGGAAAATATTGTATGAAAGGAAATCTCTTTTAGTGATAATTTTCTTAAATTGATTTTAATTTACAATATTTATGCTTATATTGACTGTATCACTTATTGATTTACATTTTTTTTCTAGTGCGTATTTTTAACTGGATCAAATGCAATGTTTCCTAATTTCAACAAAAGAATGGAACGTGAGCTATTGGAAATTCGACCATTCCAGTCTACTTTTTCTGTTTACAGAGCTGGTAAGTAATCTCAAATAAGTTTCCATCCTGGGTATGACGATAAACTACATCTGCATCCTGGGTAAGACGATAAAATATGTCCAGCAGCAAGGCCACTGATCAGGAGAGTTTGAGGAGCATGGAACCACCTCTTTATTGCTGGTGTTCCCAGGTCCACCCTGATCCAGGGTGGTAGCACCTGTTAGGGTCCTAGCTATGGGCAAATAGTTAACCCCCAAACTGGGGTCAAAACACTATGAAAGTGTAAAAATAGATTTTAATACCAGAAATACTTTATAAAAAAATTATTAGCAGCCATACATTTTTGAAAAAAATATTACCAGCAATAAATTTTAAAAAAAATATTACTACCTATACATTTTTGAAAAACAAATATTACCAGCTATACATTTAAAAAAAAAAAAAAAACACTACCAGCTATACATTTAAAAAAAAAAAAAAAAAAGAGAAACATTACCGTCTATACATTTTTTGAAAAAAATATTACCAACAATGAAAATTTTGTCAACATTAAATAACCCATTAAGGTTGATATGCCATAATCCAAACCAAACCAAACCAAACCAAATAAGTTCAGAATAAAATTTTAGTAAGACGCCCACCACGGTTGTCTCCCCTTAAAATCACAATTATAATCCTCAGATTTGTTCTAAACAATGTAATCAAATCAAAAGCACCTTCCATAGATGGAAGGTTAGCAAACCAGCCTTGCACATCATTGCTAATGTAGGGAGTTTAATCTTCCCTGTAGTAATATGTAAATGATTACCTAATTAGCATAGCTAAGGCATAGACAATATAAATGCCCAAGCAGTAAGGGTAGAGCAGTTCTCAGTATGCAAGATAAATGACTACCACTGGACTGGTAAAATATGAAGGAAATCACACTTCATGACATTCTCATTGTGTCCAACTGTTGCAGTTTTGTATCATTCTAAGCTAAGCTTAGTGTATATAAAATGCATTATTATTAAACTAATCTTTCAATTTAACCAATTCACAAGTGAATTTTAATTCTCATTTGTTATACCATTACTGTAGCTATACTATACCTGATCTCTTTCTTTCCCAACTGATACCAGTGTTCTGGTTTTAAAATACTGATTTTTTTTAAAGCAGTGACACACTTCCAAGTTTTAGAATTGATGCAACACATTTTAACCCAAATTTTCTCACTTCCTATTTAGCCTTATACCATACTCTGCTAAGTAAATATTAAATAGTGCAACACATGATGCCAGGGTGATATTTACAAAGCTAGTCTTACAGATCATTGCTGAATCAATATTGCTCAATCATTCTGGTTCTTCTAGACCAGTGGTTCTTTATACCACTTAACCTGGTGGTCGATTCTGGGCGAGCCTGGTCAGCAGTGCGAAGACATTCTAACCCTTGCCACACACCACCTATGACTCCTTCTTCCACCTAGTAATCATGAGACATGTTTTCATCACTTGCACTACATGCCATCTCATGCTTTTAACCCTCTCTGTCTGTTCCATTTCATTTTCTAAATTAACCTTTTCCTTTACCAGTGTCATATAGTGTCACATCTTTAACCATTTTCAGCCCACCTCCCCCTTCCAATTAGCCAACCAAGTCATTTCCCCCTCCCACAAAATGTTACCAAAAAAAAAAGAGAAAGCAAGTAGTTTCATGGCAACATTTATTTTAAAAAAGTGGATGCTAACAAAAGACTTAATCAATGGGAACTTTGGACTTGTTTTTATGTTTGTTATGATGTTGATTTGGGGTTAGTAGAGACAAACGCCAAATAACACGTAACAATAAAAAGGGTTTTAATAGGTTGGTAAAAAGGTATAGAATCGCCTGAGTAGTCAATAACTAGCTCAGCTAAGAACTTCTCTGTTTATCTGTCTTTCCCATGTCAACTGACATGCCACTATTTAAAAGTCTTTGTTCGCAGACAAGTTCATCTTCAAGAGGGGTGGTAGGTTTCCAACACAACACCTCCCCCTTGAGATTAATTCCGGAGGAATTAATATCTTTTTCTTTTGGGATCTGGACTTAAACGTTCCACCCTAGTTCTTTTTCTTTTGCTTGTCCTTCTTTGGACAACTGTTTCAGGCAATGGTGGAGTTGGTATATCGAATAAATCATATAATACCTCCATTGGTTCTTCATTTTCTTTACTTATTTCTTCAATGATTCTTTTCCTTAATTGGTTCAAATGTCTTTTGTGCACCCATTTTTTACTTCTTATCATGTATAACATCTTACCAATTCTTTGAGTTACCACTCCATCTTGCCAAAATTCCTTCCCATTTTTGTAATTTTTAAAAAAACTTTATCTCGGCCTGAGATATTTCATATTTTCCTGATGCGTTTTGTTCTGGTAACTCTTTTTTCTTTCCAGCAGCAGCCTATTGAATACAGATCTAATTTTTTCTAGCAAACATCAGTTCAGCTGGAGACATCCCTGATATTGCATTTGGATTTGGTGTTATTCTGTATATACTTAAAAACTGCTGTATATTACCATCATCTGTATTAGTACCATTTGTTTTTTTAAGGGCTCTCTTGAACGTATCAACAAACCGTTCAGCCTGTCCATTTGACCTAGGATGGTACGGTGAAGTATTGATGTGGTCAATTCCCAGAGTCTTACAAAACGTCTTAAATTCACTTCCTGTGAATTGAGTTCCATTGTCGGTGACAATTTTTTCTGGTATTCCAAAATGTGCAAACAGTTCTGTAAGAAAATCTTTTGTTACAGAAGCAGTTGGTCTTTTGCCGTCTCTGAATTTATGCAGAATTACTGCACCTATTCTGTACTCGCTTGCATTCGATGCCACTATAATTTCCTGTTTAGGGTCATAATGTGTTAGTGATAATTCCGACGTCAAAATATTCTTTATTTTGTCAAACGCCTTCTGACACACTTCTGACCATTCCCACTTTGCTCCCTTTTTAAGCAATTTATTTAATGGAGCCGTAAGGCTGCACAAATTAGGAATATATATCCCATAATAGTTAGCAAGTCCTAAGAACGCTTGTAAGCGTTACTACATTTTGGGAGTTGGCATGCTTTTGATCGCTTCTGCCCTCGCGGATCTGGTCTTCTTCCATCAGAGTCTATTATCTGCCCCAAAAACTTAATTTCACTCATAAAAAATTCACATTTTTCAGCTCCAAGTTTGAATCCATATTCTTCAATTTTTTCAAAAGCCTGATTAATATGTTCCAAATGTTCATTTCGATCTTTACTTTTTATCAAAATATCATCAAGATATGCAATGGCGAAGTCCAACCCTGCCAGCACAGTGTCCATAATTTGCTGAAAAATACTAGGGGATACTTTTAAACTAAAAGGCAGACGGTTTAATTTGTATAAACCCTTGTGTGTATTGATAGTCAACAATTTAGAACATTCTTCGTCCACTTTCACTTGGAGATTGGCATCCGATAAATCCAATTTAGAGAATATTTTTCCTCCATTTAAACTTGCAAAAATGTCTTCTGGTGAAGGCAAAGGATATGTGTGGTCTTTTAAGCAATCATTTAGACCCGTAGAGAAATCGGCACATATCCGAATTTTATTATTATTTTTTTTAACATATACAACAGGGCGGGCCCACTCTGAAAATTCAATGCGTGAAATAACTCCTAAATTTTCAAGCTGTTCCAATTCTTTGTTAATCTGTTCCAAAACACCAAATGGCACATTTCTTTTTTCGCTTGAAATAGGTTTTACATTTTCCTTCACTTCAAATTTTGCCTTCATCTTTTTGCAACATCCAAGACCTTCTGAAAATACTTGTGGAAATTTTATTTTCAGATCTTTCACCAAATTTTCTGTAACCCGATTTTTTACATGGAGAAGAAACATTAATTCTATTGCAAAAAAGAATTTATAAGGAGTTCCCATAAATTAAAAAGTATAATCCAATCTGTTCCAAACAAATTTGAAGCATTTTGTAGCACATACACTTTAGACTTTAGTGTCTTACCAACAAATGAAATATTACAAGAAAATTCACCTTGAAAATGCAATTTTCTTCCAGAAATCCCTCAAGCCACTTTTTCAGTCTTTTTAAGCAAAGGTCTGCCTATTTTAATCTATGTTGCTGTATTAATAATGGAAATATTACTTCCAGTATCTAGCTGTAGTTTAACATTTTTTCCATTAATTTTTACCTGTACAAATTTTCTTTTCTGCCCCTCCTCAATCTCCTGACGTGACAACACAATATTCACATTATCTTTTTTCGACTTGCTTTTACAATGAGTACTTATATGGCCTTTATTGCCACACGAATAGCAATTTTTGTCGTGAAAAAAACATTCACTTTTAAAATGACCACCACCGCATCCAAAGCACGTTGGTTTTTTAACGTTTTTATTAACTATTCCCGTTTTTGGTCGAATAGCATGGACACAGGAAACGTCTTTTTCTTCAATTTGCGTATTGTCATGTTTTAAGTTTTCAATTCTTTGACACTCTTCCGTAACCTTCTGCAAAGTGATCTCGGAATTTTGTTCGAGTTTTGCCAATATGCGGGACCTTATGTCCTTATCTTTGCTAGAAGTCAAGCCTTGAACGAATATCAAACATTTAAATCGATCAATTGAAAGATCATGTAACATAAAATGTTCACACATTCTGTTAACATTTCCAGCATACGTAACAACATCCTCATCGTCATGCTTTACCATATTAAAACACGAGAAACGAGTATGAAACAAACTAACTCGCTCGCCAAAAATACTAGATAAAGTATTAACTTTCTTCGAAAGAAATGTCACCAGTTTTTCTTGGAAGGACAAAATTCGTATACTTATTATTTTCATCTGTACCCAACTTTTGTAAAATAAACTCACTTTTTGTTCATCAGTCCAACCTTCACATTTTTTTTCAAATATTGTTTCAAATCTTCTGAAATACGCAAGAAATTGTATGCCCTCCTCTGGGTTAAATTTGAACTCAGTAATAGAATTAGCAATACCTTGCCGTGAATGGCCAATTTACTGGATTCTTA